ATATATATATATAAAAACTTAAAAATGGTTAAAGAACTGAATGAGGACCCTTAAGAGACATGAAAAACAACTATTAAAAGGAATTATACATGTGGAAAAGAAGAAAACATTTTTTACACATAGATTATGATCTAATAAAATAGAAATCTATTTTAGTACACAGAGAACACTGGCTTCAAATCAAATTTCTTTACTTCTGACTTCAGTTAAACTTGGTGATATTTTTAGATAGTGTTTACCCTTTTCATCTTATTCCACTCAATTTTTGAACAGGACTCAGATTCAATTCCATTTCACTGTCTGGTGCTTAGCCATTTATGAACAATACTGTGTACGAACACTTACTTTCACTTAAAAAAAAAAATTGAAATATTTATTTTCAAAGTAAATTTCACTGGACGTATACAGATGTATATATAAGTCTATACATACTTAATGTCACAAATATATTCTAATAGGTAAAACATAAACTGAAGTATCCAAGACAACTGCAGGAATGGATTTGTTCCCAACTGCATACACACTTGCAGTCTTGGGGTGGTGCCAATGTGTGCATTTGTAGACAACGATCAGTAAGATTCCACCTTCCAGCTACGACCAGCAGCCACACTGTAGCCCCCTCACCTGCAGTCCGTCCTGGTACTGAACAGCAGCCTGCATTGCTTCATCGAGTTTCTCAACTCGGTCCTTCCAAGCCTTATTTAGAGAATCCCATGCTGAATTTAACTACAACATAAACATTAGAACTCTTTAAGTTCTAGTTCATAGGTTAAAGTTTCAACTACTTCTATTAAATATATTTTAGTTAAAAAAACACGTTTTAGTTAACTAAATTTAAAAAAGCACTCTGATAAGAGTAGAAAGCATGCCAGTTGCACCTCATCTATGCTCTTCTTGACAATGGGTTTGTCGGGTTCACCACACGCGGAGATGAGTTCAGAACCCAGGTTAATAACTATATCCAGATCTTCCTGCAATCCTTCTATTTCTTCCCTTATGGACTAGAAAAAGAAAATAACAGCCTTGGAATTTTCAGCAAAACCACATGAAAACTAAAAAAACGTGTACAAAGATATATTAACAGTAGTTACTTCTAAGAGTGGAATACAGTCAGTTTTTATTTTCTCCTTTCTAAGTTACTGCAATAAATGTTCTTCATCAAGAAAATAGAACAGAAAAAAAAAATTTTAAATAAAAAAGGAATCCCTGAGTTGAGTAACAAACGCCAAACATTTATTATAAAGACGACATTTAATAATTCCAGGTAACAAATATAAGAACAATTTTCTTTTAAAATATCAACAATATTGAAAAGCATAGGAAGACATTTTGTTTTTCAAACCAATTAATTTGGTAACATATGTTTAAAATACATGTAAGTAAAACAGGAATTCAAAGACTTTATAAAAATTAGAATATTTGTTAGTAGATTTAGCGTAAACTATTCTTGGATTTATATTTTATGTCATTACCGTGGGTTCTGTAAACTATAAAAAATTACAACAGAAATGCAGTATTCTACCTTTATATTTTCATCTTCTTGGTTAAATATATTTATTCATCCCTCCAACATTTAATAAGCATGTACCAAACCCTAAACAAGGCATTGAGGATACAAAGGAAAAAAGATGTGCTTATTCCCCTCAAGGAGCTCACAGTCCACTAGGAAAAGCAGAGGTGTAAGTAACGATATGTCATACCACGTGTAGAGTCCTTTCTAAGAGGAAAGTGTTATGGAAATACAGATGGACTAACTCTGCCAAGTATACAAGAAAAGATTTTATAAGGGAGGTAACAATCCAGCGGAACCTTAAAGCTTGAGTGGGATTTTCCAGAAGCATGGTAGGAAGAACATTCTAGGATAAGAAAATAAAACGTGCAGAAGTACAGATGGTAAAAATAGCAGAGCACTTTTGGGAAAAGTCACTAATGGAAGAGAAGGAGCTTGGTGAAGCAACAGTAGAAAAAATGGTTTTGAAAACATAGGCACAGGCTAGGGTAGGATATAAAAGGCCACACATTTTGTTCTAGGGAGTTTTCACTTTATCTAGTAGGCAGTCGATCCCTCTACGGTGTTTTAAGCAGTGACTCAATAAAAGCTGATCTAGAGAGACAACCGTTAGACAGTTAGAGGTGTGGCAAGGATGGAGACACGGCAGGTAGGGATACTACTTTGAATTGCTTTGGAAGCCAAAAGAAGAGATTACAAGGCCCTGAAATAAGGCAGAAGCAGTGGAGATAGTGAGAAAAATGTAAAATATACGTTCTCCAAGTGAAATTTATGTGTGTGCCCTATCTCATGCCATATCACTGTGTATTCCATTCTTAGAACCAAATATAAATTTTTACAGAGTAATTTCTAACATTAACCAAAGTAATCCAGTTTCATTATGCCACAACTTATTATTCAACTTGGAATGAGATATTTTTGCTTACCTCTGCTGCTTCCTGCTGTTGTTTTACTACTGAGGGATCAATTCCAGGATCCTCCAGGTCCCGGATGAAATCTTGAGTATCTTTAGTGGTAACTACCAGTGACATGTGATCACACCAGAACTTTTCTGCTAGTTCCATTACGTCCAGTAGTTTAGCTTCCCTTTCTTCTACCAGTGTGTGTATGTTCTCCCAGATGAAAACCATTTGGTCAAGCTTATCTTGAACAGCTATGGAACAAAACGGTATCAACAAATATATATGTCAGCCCTACATGAGCAATAAAAGCAGATCATTTTAATTCACATAAAAAGCATTGATTTAATTTGCTAAGTATCTAAAATTGAGCCAAATTTTGGTTGACCCCAGTCTAGTGGATATCGTTATGCCCAAGAGCCTATCTCAGACAATGAATGACCTAAGGGTCTCCTCATCCTCCTGAACCTAGGCTCTTCCTGACAAAAGTGGATAGTCAAATCTAAGTGAGCTCAGAACAGACTCACGGTGTTTCCAGCTGACCAAGGCTGGCCTTAATCCCAAAGAAAGTGAAATCACTACCTGATGAAGCTTATTCTTTAATTATGCTCTCCAAATCAAGAATCAAGTTGTCTGTTGAGTTCCAGGAATATAAAATTGTAGGTTATATATTTTGGCCTTGTTTCTAGAGTACCCTTAACACAAATTTCCACTAACCTATGCACATGCTCCCCCCTTTTGGCCCCCAGCTCACATCTCTCAGATGGCTCACTGCAGTCATGGTTTCCATTTCAGTGGTTGTGGAATGGGAGGTGGAGTATGTTTTATGTAAGGTAGTATAGTCTGTAATGGGAACAAAAATCTCTAAATGTGGTCTTACTAGCATCGCGCTTTAACCAACTAGTTTAAGAGGCCTGGATAACATGATTTTTGTATAATGGAACACTTTGTGTTCAACAGATTGATTTCACAAGCAAAGGAAGATATTACCAAGGTATTTATGTACACAGTCCTTCAACCACAAACACATCATATTTGTAATACCTTTTCTAAGAGCTGGCATTTTGTTATGCAGTTAGACTGTCAGTAAACAGTATGAAATTTTGAAATTGTTGTTGTTTCTGTATTCCAAAAATATTACCTTTGGCAGATAAGTCTTTATCAGTGCCCCCAGACCGAGCAATCATTTCCTCTCCCCTCTGTTTAAGAGTTTCATACAGTGGTTGTAGCTTCTCCATGTCTACTGACACGTTCTTATTTTCACTGATCTGTTCCTTAATCTTCTCAACCTCAGCAGAGATAGACGGTGGCTGCCTCAAACGCTCCACGATGCGTTCCAGACTCTCAATGATCTGGTCTATCTTGTCATGGAACTAGGAGTAAAAGACAGGGATTGTTTACAATAAAAATCGTCTGCAATACTCAACGTGACATTTAAATGAAAAAACACCTACCAAATGCCACAATCAAGCATTTAATCTTCACACTAAGATCTTAGTCCCTCGACCAACAAATCCATCCAAAGAGACATCCAGCTGATGTTTGAAGACATTTGTTAAAATCTTGACTTGTATGCACCTCTCTGCTTCACACTGCTTATGTAGACGAGCTTAGTTTCTTATAAATAATTGAGTGTACTCATTTAAGAAATGGTATGTGTTAATAGATAATTGTGCCACTTCGCAGCAGCATTTTACAGCATCTAACCTGTTGTTTCACCTTATCAGAATTCAAATCAACTTTGAAAATTAAGTTCAATAAACCAGCTATTTGTCTATCAAAAGTTTTTGACAGTTTTATTCATTGTTTACTGATTATTTTGAAATCCTGAAAGGTTATTTATTAAAGGTAAAATCGTGGACAGCCTGGATTAGATCAAAGAGGCTCCTTAAGTTATATATTCTCTGTACTGCAAAAAGTTAAAAAATTAAACAAAACAAAAGCTTCTCCAGTGTTGGACTGGAAATTTGTATTTAACTTATGCTCAAAAACATAATCAAATGCATGAGACAATTTTTAGATTTTGTTTGCAAAGTTACCATAGACAATTACGCGGAGCTATAAAAACTTGTTCAGTCACAGATTCTACACTATCCTCAAAGATTCTACACTAAACTCAAAGAAACATTGAGTGAGGTTACAGAAAATGGACCACCCTAATGCCTGTGTTTATCTACTGATAAAAAAAAACAAACCTTGAAAACTGAAAATTTATAGGTAATTTCAAAATTAAAGTTATTGAAAAAATATATTTTCAAAAAAGAAAAAAATCAATTTCCAACTTTATATATATATAATAGATATTTTTCCTTTTTATTCAACCTATCATTCAGTCTTTCTTCTTATTGCCTTCTTGGAAGTGTTTTATTATTAATGATAATTACACTTTCTTTTATCTTTCCTAATGGTAAATACTGCATTTCACTCAAGATAAACATTTAATTAAATATTTGGATAATGATGACAACTGTATGTTTCTTAACTCATTGAAAATTATTTTTTGTTGTATCTACAAGCAGGCAGAGACATATGAAGTCTGGATGGAAGAAAACACCACCTTCAAGACAAAGACATCAGTAGTCAGAGTTAATGTAATAAAAAATTTAGTTGAAATTTAATAAAGGAGACCCAGGAAAACATCTTCCCATGCTCTGCTGTTCAGAGAAACCCAATTATATTTCTGATGTAAATGATTACCTGAGTAGACTGAGAAATGGCTTCATCCAGTGCCACAGCTCGTTTTTTGACATCTTCTTTAATTTGACAGTAAAGGGTATCAGCTGCCACATACTTCTCTTGGATAGAAAAGCCTTCCCCTGGGCTCAATTCCAGTAACTGCGGCCCGGTTTTGTTCATCTTATCTATATGAGGCTTGTGCTCAGCTATCAACTCTCGCAGTTGCTATAACAAACCAAACAGTTTCTCAGTATCTCAGGCTCACACCTCCATATTACAGCTGTCTACACCCCCAATGCATCCAGCTGGCAAGAAACTCCAAACACTCTCCCCATCGCTGGCATTTAACAAATGATGGCTCATGCAACTCTTTGCCAGAAGGAGATGGCCCTGACATAAAGAGTAAAGAACAGTCTGGTCATGTAAAAGCCTCTCTAAGGGCACACACAAAAATGCTGGTTGGGTGGAATAATGAATCACAGTTCATTATGCATTTCATACCAAGAGCAGCACATTTTGACAAGAGTATGAGCCAAGGGTCATAATACATAAAAGGATTCAGAACTATGTCCCCAATCTGCAGAGGCCAAGCCAAAACTCTTGGTGTCCCTTTTTCGCACACTCATCGTATATACAAAAACGTTATAATGAAAGAAACAAGGGAGGGAGGGAGAGAGGTAGGGAGGGAAGCTCAGTAGAAGGTAGACACAATGCTGAGAGAAAAAAAACTATAAAGGGAAGTTAGAGCGATATAGGTCTACAAGGTAATGTATCTATACATGTGAACTAATATAAAATGTATGCATATATATATTACATGAATCTATTTTAAGTATTTACATATTTTATGTATATTCTATGCATACATATGATATGTATTATATATGTATATATGTGAATGAATATATTTCTAGTTGTTATTTTAAAATATTAAAGACTACAAGGGTAATAAATCTGAAATACACAGATATATATTGAGCATTATTTTACAAGGTATATTTAAGAGAAAATGTATGACATATGAATATTTTGTCTAATTTTGTCATTTAATCAACAGATACAATGGTATTCATACTAGTGGGTCAGCGTGTAATACAAGTGGAGCCCCTCTTCTTCTAATCAATGATCAGAAGTCTGAATAAAGCTGGAATATCTACACTCCATGTATTCTAGAGCCTCCACCGAGCAGTTTTTCATGGACCAAATCCAACACCATCCCAGGGGAAGACCCGTCTTTGCCTGCAGGTTTCTCTGAGGCTGGCCTCTATGCAGCACTGAGAAGCATTCCATTTGTACTAGACAACTGATTATGTTCCCTAATCAGCAGTTCCTTGTCTTCAACAGAAAGTGTGTCTCCAAATTGTTTTATGTTGTTATTAGATGCTGTCGAGTCAATTTCAACTCACAGCGACCCCATGTGACAGAGCAGAACTGCCCCCATAGTGTTTTCTCGGCTGTAATCTTTACGGAAGGAGCCCTTATGGTACAGCGGTTAAGCACTCAGCTGCTAACCAAAAGCTTGGAATCCACCAGTCACTCTAAGCGAGAAAGATGTGGCAGTCAGCTTCCATAAAGATTCACAGCCTTGGAAACCTTATGGGGCAGTTCTACTCTGCCTTAAAGGGTTGCTATGAGTCAGAATTGACTCAATGGCAATAGGTCTGGTTTTCTTGGTTTACATCTTTACAGAAACAGATGGCCAGGTCTTTCTCCCATGGAGCGGCTGGTTGGGTTCCTACCACCAGCCTTTTGGTTAGCAGCCAGGCACTTAACTGTTACGCCACCAGGGCTCCTTGTTTGCTATCTAGCCCCTAACAAAAGCTTCTCTGAGAGAAATTACATTCAGAAAAGACAGTCTAGAGCCATGCTGCCAATCTTTTTCTATAAATATTTTGTTTCTATCATTCATCAGTAAGAATCACCAGGAAGGTCACATGCCTAGATTTTTACTCAAAGTGACCGCTAAAATCATTCATATAAATTATTTTGAGAAAACTGTGTACATTATGTCATTAACCATCTGCTATGTAATAAACTATTTTTGAAGATTTCCTGAAGGTTGCCTCAAACCACTTTTGGAAAAGGGTTAAATAAAAGCAAATTCAATTTTAAAAAGAGGGAGTCTACTCTAACGTTCTGCAGGTAAAGATGTGGTATGGTCATGTCTACAATCTAGCTCCTGTGTGTTCCAGGCTGAAGTTTTTGTTTGTTTGTTTCATATAATTAGCTCATATCTTTCTGCTGCTTTAAAAAATGGAGGTAGTAGTGATAATATACGATCTCATGGAAAAAGAAAGCTTGTGAATGTTACACATGTTCTAGTTTCAATATTCTATAAGACATCCTTGGAAATCAAGCTCATACTCTTGAGTTATCAGGAGACTCTCAAATGAAATGAAAGATGTCTACTGAGATGTCCTGAGTTGCCAAGAATACCAGTAGATATCGTCTGTGCAGCACCACTATGAGACACCTTAGGTTAGGGAGTAGTGAGATTAGTTGTTTTTAGGCCATTCCATGACAGACAAGCGAATAATTACCTACTTGGGCATGTGTGTGCATGGGGAAGGGGCCCAATGGGAGATGCCTTTTGCCTCATATGTGACAAAATGATTCTTGGTAACATACTAACACAGGAGTCCAGTCAGGCTAGAAATACTTAGTATGAATACAAAATATCTGTCACTTAGTAACATACTCCTTGGAGTCATTTTTAATTCCTGGCCCTAGAAACTATAAGATCTTCCTAAAAAGGAAAGGATGCCGTAGAGCTTAAGAAGAAATGTTGTTCCAGAAGATTACAAATATTCTGAAACAGGAAATCTTTTAGCGTGAACAATCATAAATTTGTTTTGAGACTTTGAAGATTACTCAAAAAATGGAAAATTAACTCAATTTTGCAATTTTCAGTTCAATAACAGGCCTTTCTATACTATTTGATGTTATGCTAGAAAGAACAAAGTTATTCAACATTACCCCAGAGTAGTAGAAATCCATGAAATGTTTTATATTAAAAATATTCAGTGGGTAGGCATAAGATTTCTGCCACAAATAAACCTTTATACTAAAATCAAGTCCAGTTCTACATAGTTTGTAAGTCTTTCTCCTGCTGAATGATTTAGGTAGAACCCTATAAAATTTATATTTTGCATTAAATAAAGTGTTCTCTAAAGCTCTCTTCTAAACAAATACTTCATTTAGAGATACGTATTCTTCAATAACAATGGCAGTACATTTTAAGAAAGTAAACAAGATGACTAAATAAGTCACATATTTCAAACAGTGATGTAATACAACCTGAGTTAAACTTTACACACACACACACACACACACACAATTATTAGTTTCAGAGTGTATCTTGTACAGATCTTGGAAAGCAACTAGGTTCACAAGTCCATAAATAGCAAGAACTCTAGATTTTTTTTCTGACAGTCTTGACCCTCTTACCCAAACTCTCACAAAATTTTAACCCGTTCTAACATCTAAGTGACTACTGAAATGAGAGCTTCATAATGCCATTTTACATATGTTCAAAACATGATACATTTGCAGATGTAAGCTGCACTTAGGTTACTCATCTACTCTTACAGGAACAAAGGACTTCAGAAAGAGTTGTATGTATATAAAGACGACAAAGGGAAAATGATCTATCTTTACACTTCAGTAGTTTTCCTTTTCATAGAGTTAGCTTTCATGATACTGCTATTTTGACATATTGACTGTATTGTACATTTTCTCCAAGTTCAGTGGTCTTGTCTACATGATGTCTCTTCCATATATTTCTACACTTCATTTACATTTTAGATGCCTCTAACCACTACATATAAGGTGCAAAACTCAGTCAACACGTGTAAATTGAAAGCACTTCAAAAGCTTAATTCTCTAAAATTTTAAAATGGGAATTTTGTTTTTCTACCCATTGGTTTTTAAACTGATACTATTCGAAAGAAATCGAGCTATAATCAATGATATATACAACACAGTGTACTTGTATGAGTCTTCTCATTGTAACAACGAACAACAGTTAAGCAACTAGAAGGTAAGCAAATCATGCAGACCAGAATACAACATTACAAAAATGTTCTGATCATGTAAGGTGCCCAACAGCATCATAAAACATCATAAAATAGGGAATACAACATTCTATATTACACTGAGCTTACCCGATGTTCCTCCTGCTGTTGTCTTAGAGTTTCATATTCAAGAGCTGGGGCAGGAAGCTGAGAGATGATTCTTTGTGTTTCTGTCAGCCATGGCCAAAGTTCTTCATATGTCTCCCAGAACTGGTTAACCAGGGACTGTGCCCGCTCTAGCTGCAGATACCTCTCTGAGTTTATCTGGCAGATGGCATCATAGTTCTTTAATACCTTGTCTATTTTTTTCTAGAAAATAAGATGAAATGTGTTTCACTGGTCAGGCTAAGCAGCACACATTTTCCAGAACGCTTTGTCCAGTATTGTATGCCTGGCACAGAGTAGGCATACAACAAATGTATGTTAAATCAATCAGTCATATAATCTAGACTTTCTTTTTATGTATAAACATTCATTTTAAATTAAAGAAAGTCCTCAAGTTTTTATGGATAAAACAATGAGCTTTCCAAACATAACAAGCAAACTTTGCCAGCCATATTTACAATGCCTTCTACTTCTAGGCCAAAAAACAAATTTCATAGGATTCTGGCAATATTTACACTGCTTTCTGGAAAAAAAATAAGGGCTGCCTTTTGTAAATAAAATTTTAAGAGGAACTGCTAGTCAACAAAATTATTTACATATATTAGAATCGAAGTAGAATATTATGATATACACTGATTTTATAGGGCGACACAGAGATCTAGAATATGGTATAAATTTACATAATAAACTAACTGCAGGAGATAAGCACAACGGAATCTCAATAAACCACAGAATGACAGAAATTATTTCCTGATGATCTGAAGGGAATGAATACAACATTTTCCAGTGCATTTTAGTTTTCTCTGGAAGACCCTCACTCAATTTTTGCATTAAAAAAATATTGCTGACTTGAGTGAATACCGAAGATCGATTCACATCAACCTATGGAAAATCTGTTAGGGGTATGAAGCAGTTCAGGGTCTGTGAGGCACAAACCTTCAAGCAGTAAAAACCAATTTTAAATCTGGGTTCAATAATATTTTTTTATTTAGAAAAACAAAAAAATACTCTTATTTAGAAAGCCTTTTATAATCATATTCCTACAAATAGAGAAAACTGACAAAGAAACATGAAGGTAATTAAGAAGTTTCTTAGGATGTTGATGACACTAGTTAACATTTACTAAGCATTAATATTATTAATATTACTGAGCATTAATAAATGTCAGACACTATTATAAATGTTTTATGTGTAATAACGAATTTAATTTCACAACAACCAAATCAGATAGGTTATTACTATTTTATCCCTATTTTACTGATGAAGAAAACGAAGTACAAAGACGTAACATAAATTGCCCAAGATCACACAGCTAGTGTGGCAGGGCCAAGGTTTCAAACCCAGGGAATCGGGCTTAGAGTCTCTTACAAATTTGATATATTCTTTCAAGTCTAATCTTCGCAAAAATAATAAAGGAAGGATTCAATTATAAACAAGTCAATTACCATTATGGAGTGTAAATATAAGAAAAGTAATAATATATAGTGTGCATTCTAAAATATTATCTATGGTATACCTTGAAAGCAATATATACCCTTTAAAATGTGATCTTAAGAATAGATATTTGTATAATTTTCTTGCCATAGAATATTTTCCAATCAAAAGCTCTAATATACATTAATTTCTTTAAGCTGCTCTGATGTCTCAATATGAACTGAAATCAGACATTTTAACTTGTAGCTTGTTTTCCTTCAATTTAAAGGATTGTTAAAACTACACAAATTGGAGGTTTTCTTAATTATTCAGTTCATAGTTTTCCTGTGTAGCTTACTGTGACTTTATACAGAATGGATTTCAGCATTAGAGAGAACCGCGTGTATCTTGGTTTTGTTTCAGCTTAAGAGGCCCAAATGTTCCTGAAGCATATAAACAACAGTTGATACATATAATAATCATAATAATAATTTATATTGATAATAATGGTAATGACACAGCTAACATTAATTGAATGCTTATTCTATGCCAGTTACCCAATGACTCAAACCTTAACAGCTTTTATACCTATTAAGAAAGATTGTCCTGATGGTGTTTCTCTTAAGGCATACTCCTCTCACTGCTATTCTGTAAGCTTGCAAAATGACTTATTTAAAACTAATGATTTAGCTACTTAAATAGCAGCTGTGGAGAAAGGGAAAGTGCTTTTGTAGGATTTTCTAAAAGCTCACCCCATGCTGTTTATTCACACAGACAAGATCATACCTTCATTGATTGCTTTTCCTCTTCGCTGCATGTGGTCATGATTTTATCCCCAGATTTAACAAGTTCATCAATAATATCCTTGTGTCTCAAAATCTCCATGGTGAATGTCTGTGATTTACCAAAATAAAGTTTAAAAAACAGAGAGAGAGAGAACGATCATGTGACTAAAATGAAAACAATTATACAAAGTAGTTAAGGAGTCTCGAAAAGCAAATCATGCAATACATTTTCTAGACTTAGCACACACTATCAAATAATTTAGATGGCAACTGGAAATGTATTTCTTCACCTTTTGAACCTGCAGCTGAGCAGAGGTCTGGTCTTGCTCAAGCCTGATGTCACCCAAAGACATCAATTTCTTTTCTGTTTCAGTAATCCAGGATAACTCAGAATCAGCCGCTTGGTCAAACTAAACAAAAGATAAATAATTAGGTCAGTAAGTTCCTGTAACTGGTGCCAGAAAAATATCTATCGACATTTAAATATCCTTATTACACAAGTGGAAAATCTGAGCCTATTTTTTCATAGCATCCAGAAATAATTCATGACAATGACTGAAGTTATAAAGAAAGAAGAACTTTCCATAGGATAATGAAACACAAGGTCTTAAAACATGCTGAATCCCTAACACCACATTAATGATTTTTCGGATAGTTAGCACTCTTGCTTTCTTTTCTAGCAGTCTTAAGAATTTTCTCCTTAGGAATACTATCCAATTCTATCAGGGATAAAAGTAAACAGCTGGAGTCCAGGCTCAGTCTTTCAATCATCTCATCCATCATCTTAACTCATATGATACGCAGGGAGCATTCTGCTATCCAAGTATATGATTCCTGGCAAAGAAAGAAATATTCCCACGTATTTATCATACTAAATGTGTGTGTATAAACGTATGTGTGCATATGTGTCTCTAAATATGCACAATATACTTCCAAGTGACGTGTAATTTTTAAACATCTTATTTAATAATGGCAGTAAACATTTTCGAGAGCATTCTTAAATATTTTAAGAGATTTTATTTTCCTGATCATAACAGTAATTCATGAGAAAGGTAGAAACTCATAAAATACATAAAAATATACAGAAGAAAATAAAGATTCCTCATAATTCTCCCACCTGGAGTTACACTGTTGGTGTTCTAGTAAATTTTCTTCCAAAGTTGTAAGAGAAAGATATATTAAGGTCTGAGATAATACTGTATAAACAGTGTCATAGCTCGCTTTCTCATTTATTATGAGCATTTCCCAAGTCATACTATTTTAATTATAATTTTTAAGTAACATGATTGCATTCTAGCATACCTGGATATTTTCATTTAGGCATTCTGCATATTTTTCTATTACATAAATAACCCTGTAATAAATATCTCTGAGCATAAATCTCTGCTGGCATTTTTCATTAGTTCTTTAGGGTAGAATCCTAGAAGAAGGTTTCAAAGTTAAAAGATATGAACATTTTCAAGACTCTGTATCAGATAAACGCCATTGTCTTCCAGGGCCAAGCACTAATGATAGTAACTTAACAGTGGCCTCAGCTGGGAGATTCGATGAGGAATGGACACTGTGGGTATCTAAGGCCAGTATTACCAGATCTTCTGTTTTTTTAAGGGAACTTGGAAATCTAAATAAGGAATGTGGGGGTAGGGAGTAGTAAGGAGAAGAGAAGGGTTGAGATAACAAATGAGATTGCCAAATAATTCTTACTTTCATAACATTATGCAACACTGTGGACTTTTGGGAAGATGTAGTAGACATACTTTTCCCTGTTTTCGTTATAAGCATACCTAAAAAGACTGCACATTATATATAAAACAAACATTAGAAAAAGATTCTGAAAGGCGGAGAGAAGGCAGAATGACTATGGACATTGGGACTAGAGCAACAACATGGTGGTGAACTTGCCTGATTTTTGTTTTTGCCTCACATACCCAGCCTGGATGCTGGGAAAGACAGCAACCAGGAAACACCAGGGGCTACAAGCAAAAAGCAAAACAAAACAAGCCAACAAAACACTCCAACAAAAGCCTGCTCTGTTTAGCCGAAATACCAGGAAAGTGACAACTTAGTGAAACAGAAAACTTTTAGACGCAACAGCTCTACTCCAAGAAACACTACAGAAAAACTGTGACCCTACTCATAACCATGCCAACGAAGGCCAAGTGGAGAGCTTATACTTCTGCCCTCATGAAGCTGTAACAAGGTACTCCAGTACCCCACCGGGGTGATGTCACTGAGTGGGGAACATCGACTCCTACCTTCAGGTCTTATAATAACCAAAATAGTGACACCACCACCAAACGCTGGCAAGGAGGTATAGAAACTGGATCACTCATGCATTGCTGGTGGGAATACAAAATGGTATAAAAACCCATTGCCACTGAGTTGATTCCAACTCATAGCGACCCTATAGGACAGAGTAGAACTGCCTCATATGGTTTCCAAGGAGTGGCTGGTGGATTCAAACTGCTGACGTTTTAGTTAACAACCCAGCTCTTAACCACTGGGCCATCAGGGTTCCCATAATGATATAGTGAATCTCAAAAACAGTTTTGCAGTTTCTTTAAAAACTAAACACAACTACCATATGACCCAGCAATTGCACTCCTGGGCATTTATCCCAGAGAAATGATGACTTACGTTCACACAAAAACCTACACATGAATGTTTACAGGAGCTTTATTTGTAATAGCTCCAAACGGGAAACAGCCCATATGTCCTTCAATGGGTGAATGGTTAAACAAACTCCATTGCAGTCATACCATGGAATACTACTCAGCATAAAAAGGAACGAAGTACTGATACATGTAACAACTTGGATAGATCTCCAGGGAATTATGCTGAGTAAAATACTCTGAACCCACCAGGTTACATAAAGTATGCTTCCACTGATATAACACTGTTAAAATGACAAGATTATAGAAATGGAGAACAGATTAGCAGTTGCCAGGGACTAAAGACAGGACGAAGGTCAGAGAGAAGTAGGTGTGGCTGTATTTCCACATGAACAATCCTTGTGGTGATGGAAATGCTCTGTATGCCGACTATATTGATGTCAATATTCTGCCTGAGATACTGTACTATAATTTCACAAGATATTACCACTGGGGAAAATGGGTAGAGTACAATGGGACCTCTCTGTATTATTTCTTACAATTGCGTGTGAATCTATCATTATCTTAAAATAAAAAGGTTAATCAAAAAAACGCCGTGCAGGTTACCTCTCATCTGTAAGTTCCTATTTGCATTTGCATTTTGAGATATATATTCCCAAATCGCCCTTCAGATAGGCTGTGCTAATTTATTGCTTCATTTCTGTAGCAGAGTTTTACTACACCCTCATCAACATGGGGTATAATTTATTTTTTAATAATACTTGTCAGTTTTATACGTGGACTTTCTTTAGTTAAAAGGAAATAACCTGCCAGCAATAATCTGACACAAACATTAACAACACTGTTTAAGAGTACTGCTATGGTTACAATCTGAAAAATCAAAAATAGATTGGAGACGTGGAAAAAATACATAATAAAATCCTTATTATTTAGAAATTTTCCCATGTATCATGAACCCACTGGATTTCATCTTTACCAAATAATTAATAAATGAATGACTGACTGACTGAATAAATAAATAAATATCTCAGCTACCTGGAGGTCATTTTTTTTTTTAAGTCAACAGTTCAGATAGAAAAAATATTTTTATAAGAATCAATTTTTATAAGAATTGGACCTAAACAATAGGTCCAAGCCAGAAATATAATAGGAATAAAAATAATAACTTTACATTTACCTTAAAAAAATCCATTGTATAAGGATAGGGCAGGGAAGACATGACTTAACAGAGCTCCACATAACAATTCCTGGAAATGCTTCTTCCCCAAAATCTGAATATAAACTAGTATCTAACAAGAAATGATGCAAAGTCAGACTGCTTTAAGACTAAGAAAAGTGTCTGAGCAGCTGTCCCACTGTCATCTGTGATTAGAACACATCTGTGACACTGGGCTCTCCTTTGAATGCCACATTTTTAAGAGGATCACTGACATGCTAAAGTTGTTACAGACAGAAAATCAGAGCATTGCCCATTAGAGTGAATAAGCTCCAATAGAAGGGTAGCACTTCTAAAATGACTACGTGTACTTTTACATATTTAAGCAGAACTATTTGTGTCTCCTATATTTCTCATCACATTATATATTATTTTAGAGTGAAGTCACATTAAAAAAAACAAACAAACTTAGCAAAGAGCCTAATGGTTTGCACATGGTGGTGGTAAATAATTTTGTTGACGGAATCATTACTTTTCCTACGATTGGAACAAATCAGAACAATGTGCACTCCAGAAGGAATCTTTTTATTTTTATTTTTTATTCTTGTGCTTTAAGTGAAAGTTTACAATTCAAGTTCGTCTCTCATTCAAAAATTTATACATAGTTATGTGACCCTAGTTGCTCTCCCTATACTGTGACAGCACACTCCTCCTTTCCATCTCGATTTCCCGTGTCCATTCAACCAGCTCCTGACCCTCTCTGCCTTCTCATCTCACCTCTGGACAAGAGCTGCCCATTTAGTCTCATGCATCTACTCGAGCTAAGAAGCACACTCTTCAAGAGTATCATTTTATGTCCCATAGTCCAGTCTAATCTTTGTCTGAAGAGTTGGCCTTGGGAATAGTTTTAGTTCTGAGCCAACAGAGAGTCCAGGGCCATGTCTTCCAGGGTCACTCCAGTCTCAATCAAACCATTAAGTCTGGTCTTTTTACTAGAATTTGAGTTCTGCACCCCACTTTTCTCCTGCTCTATTTTAAGGACTCTCTGTTGTGTTCCCTGTCAGGGCAGTCATTGGTGGTAGTCCGGCACCATCTAGTTCTTCTGGTCTCAGGCTGATGAAGTCTCTGGTTTACGTGGCCCTTTCTGTCTCTTGGGCTAATGCTTTCCTTGTGTCTTTGGTGTTATTCATTCTCCTTTGCTCCAGGTGGGTTGGGACCAATTGATGTATCTTAGATGGCCACTTGCTAGCTTTTAAAACCCCAGACACCACTCACCAAAATGGGATGCAGAACACTTTCTTAATAAACTTTGTTATGCCAATTGACCTAGATGTCTCCTGAAACCATGGTCCCCAGACCCCCGCCCCTGCTACTCTGTCCCTCAAAGTGTTTGGTTGTATTCAAGAAACTTCTTAGCTTTGGTTTAGTTCAGTTGTGCTGACTTCCCCTGTAGTGTGTGTTGTCCTTCCCTTCACCTAAGGTAATTCTTGTCTACTATATAGCTAGTGAATACCCCCCTCTCCCTCCCTCCCTACCCTCATAACCATCAAAGAATGTTTTCTTCGAGAAGGAATCTTGATAAACAATTTGAAAAAGTCTATCTTAATCTGGTTCAATAATTTTTGATGTTATTTAGCTTCCG